AAAAATTATTTTGCCTGCAATTAATATTAGTACCCAAAAAAAACTTTTTTATACACTTTAATTATTTAATCGCTTGTTATAAAAACATGCAAATCATGTCAAGGATCTGCTGTTAAAAAAAAATTTCTGCTAAGACCAATTTATTTTGCAACATGACTCATTAATTTTGCTGAAGGACTCATTGTTTTAAAACATGTGCGTCATCGGACGCATTGTAAAGAATTTCTAGATTAATCACTGCATGTTAAAATTTAAGAACATTTTCTAAGTCAATTTTTGACCTTCAAGTGTGGCCTTGACCTTAAGCTGGCACAAGGGTAAGATGGGTTCTACATATTGCCCAGTTGGGGTTAACATTTGAGTCAAGTTTGAAGAAAATCCTTCCATTAGTATAAAATTCATAGAGCTGACACAACATATTGTCTAGTATTGATTGTATGTAAATTTAAAACCTTAAAAAGGAGCATAACTTTGCCAAAATGCAATACAGAGTTATGAAACTGAAACTGCATATCTGACTTGTGACACTTCATATATTATATCTTTTAAGTTTCAAGCAAATACCTATGCTAGTTTCAGAAATATTCAAGTACATGTTAAAATTTAAGAACAATTTCTAAGTCAATTTTTGACCTTCAAGTGTGACCTTGACCTTAAGCCGACACAAAGGTAACATGGGTTCTGCATATAACCTTGTTGAGGTGAACATTTAGGTAAAGTTTGAAGAAATTTCTTCCATTAGAATAGGATTTATAGAGTGGACACGACATATTTGTCTAATATTTTATTGTATGTTAATTTGAAGACTTAAAAGGGCATAACTTTCAAAATGCAATACAGAGTTATGAAACTTGACCTGCATATCTTTTTTGTGACACTTCATATATATATTTTAAGTTTCAAGCAAATACCTTGTCTAAGTTTCAGAAATATTCAAATACAAGTTTAAATTAAGAATATTTTCTAAGTCAATTTTTGACCTTCAAGTGTGACCTTGACTTTAAGCCGGCAAAAGGGCACATGGGTTCTACACAATACCTTGTTGAGGTGAACATTTGAGCCAAGATTGAAGAAAATCTTTCAATTAGTGTGGGACTTACAGAGCGGACAGGACATACTGTCTAATATTTGATTGTTTGATATTTGACCTTCAATTGTGATCTTGACCTTGAGCTGACATAGGCAACATGGGTTCTGCACATCCCCTTGTCGAGGTGAGCATTTTAGCCAAGTTTGAAGAAAATCTTTCAATTAGTGTAGGACTTACAGAGCTGACACGACATACTGTCTAATATTTGATTGTTTGATATTTGACCTTCAATTGTGACCTTGACCTTGAGCTGACACATGGGCAACATAGATTCTGCACATCCTCTTGTTGAGGTGAACATTTGAGCCAAGTTTGAAGAAAATCCTTCAATTGATATAATATTTATAGAGCGGACACGATAATGGAGACGGATGGACGGATGCGACAAAGCAAATCCATTATAGCCCCCCCCCCCCCACATTTTGTGGTGGGGGTATAATTAGAGATAAGATGTACAATTTTCAAAGCAATACAACACTTGCATTAAGACGGTAATTCTACACTGTAGGAATCATCTGAGGTTTCACTAAAAAGTATCCCTCCCAAATGATCCTTAACATACTTTACTCACTAAATATTTTTTTGCCACGAGTAATGATTGAAACACCTCCATTTAAAAATATATATATATATATATTTTTTTAATGTGAAGCCTGACCGAGACTCAAACCTGGGACCCTGGGAATACCGTACTGCCCAGGGTTGTCATTAAGAGGCGGCAGGAGGCCAAAATGCCTGTCTCAAATGCATTATGGGCCGCCTCAAAATTAAGAAAACACTCTTTGTTATGCATGATAAAGACAGAAATGACCGCCTCAAGTTCAAAACAAACCTTCTGCAAAAAATGTTAATGACAACCCTGCTGCCGCTGTACTGACTAAGCTATACGGCCGCCTACAAACTACCTCCCTTCCCCTTATTACAGAACAGTTCAATACCGTGACATACTGTAAAATCATTATTATTCGTGGGGCACGAATTTTCGTGGTTTTCGTGGGTAGGTCAATCCACCAATTTAAGATCCGACGAAATTTTTTCCCAACAAATACTTTTTACCCTGTTTCTGTCCTATATATTACAAACATGCGTCGGCTCTTTTCCGGCTGATTTTCGTGAAATAAATGTATATACATACTTACATGTACAGTAAACTTCACTTATAGCGAACACGGTTATAGCGAACTTCCGGTTATAAGGAACAATTTATTTTGGCCCGAATTTTTCCCTTCTTTATTTAATATAAAAATATACGGTTATAGCGAACACTGTTATAAGGAATTACCGCTTATAAGGAACTCATTTCTTAGTCCCAATTTTGTTAAAAGTGCAGAAAATTACACTTTTATAACGAACTCCAAATATCAGCTATTTGTAAATTTATCCCGCATTTTCAACTTTCGTTTCTATTAGTGGCACGGATTAAAACTCGCAGAATGTACCGTTTATTGTTGTATGCAATTCAATATATCTATTAAAATGAATTAATATAGAGGTATGTAATAGTTTTCTATTAAGGAAATTTTTAGCATGAGTTCTTGTCACAAAGATAAAACGGTTATAATTCCTTTTATTCTATTATTTCTTTTCTTTAATAGTTTTGCTCGAGTAAAATAATTATGATCATTTATAATCGGTTTTCAATATAATCATGCATGCTTGCAAACATAATCCATAGACAACTACAAAGTATGCTTGATTGAAATGAAAAGAAATCTATATATTTCATTAGTAAAAGTCACCCTTAAAATATAATAGAAGATATTCATTATAAAAGGAAGAAAAAATGGAAAATCTCATTTATTCTTATTCATGGAAATAAAACGAAAAGCACTGAGTTAAGAAACAAAATATGATATTTTATGAGAAATTAAGAAAGGGAGTAAAACATAAACTGAAATAGCAAATAATTTACAAATTCCAAAATGTAGTAACGCTCCCGGGTATTGTGTCTAAAAAAGAAATAAATGACTAATTATTGTTAATCAAATGCTCTTCAAAATGACAGACAATGTTTAACAATGAGTTCGTTATATGTAAATCTGTTCGCTATAAATATTCCTGATACAAGGAACTAATTTGCTATATGCTTACATGGAACTCAGGATATAAGGAACAGATTTTGAATGTCCCGATGAGTTCGTTATAAGCGGAGTTTACTGTACAGATAATCAGGTAATGACAGATTAAATCCGTTTGCAATATTTAACCCATTACCCCATGAGCATTTTGTGAAAAATGGCTGTTTTCATTGAAAAGGCTCCCGTTACAAGTTCAAATTGCTATGAAACTATAAAAACTGCTTCAATGCTAATCAAACTTTGCGCAAATGTTGACTGGACCATTGCCTTTGTAACAACATGCTCAGGCTTAAATTTCTAGCCACCATGGCAATGAGGGGACATCTCAAAATTGCCAAAAATCACTATTTTTTGTTGATTTTTTCCATCAAAATTGATTTCAAAGTGCTGCAACTTCTAAATGGATTGAGATAGAGTCAAATGCTTTTCAGCGTTGATTACACGTTACCTTTTCATCAATCTGGGGTCAATTTTAGCCTCTCGTAAGTCCAAAATTTTCTTGGGGGGCCGTGCCGAAAAAGTGGTCACTTTTTTTAACAACATTTCTCAAACAAAAACAAGTGTTGGGGGCTTAAATAAGGCATTTTTTCACCATTTGAGGCAACTAAAAGGGGGGGGGGTGAAAAAGGCGTAGAAAGGCGTATGTATCTGGTAATGGGTTAAGAAACTTGATAAAAAAACTCGATCATAATTATGTCCTCAATTTACTGTCACAAATGTCGGTCGCATATACACACTTGACTGTTGTTAGAATACTTGACATAATCGAGTAAATATAGGAACCCAAAAATATACAATCGCTAAAACCGATGAATTGCACTTTCTTTTGTCGTTTTTAAATGATCCAGTTTTACTAGATCCACACATATTTGTGTTATTTACTCAGATTACTTTATATGCATGTAAATCTACAGTCAGTCGCTATGACGTTGTGTGTAGTTACTGTCAAATATGGTAAGAGCAATTCAGGGTGTAAACTTTTTAAACTCGCTGGTTAAAACGTGTTAGGTGTCGTATAAATTATGCGATGTTTACATCGGCGAATTAAAGGGGCAGTGTGTGTAATGGAGGTGCATATCATGTCACATAAATGTGTTAATTGCAGCCAATTATCGGCAGTAACTGTGCTATATAAGAGTTATGCCCAGAGGCAAGGATTAAATTTATTGACAAGCGCTGTGTGACAAGTAAAGATATGTACATGTTGTAAGTAAAAATGTTCGGCGATTAAGTTAAAGATTACTTTGCATTAGGTTACTAAATTTTTTACAAGAAAATGAAAATCCACGAATTTAAGAACCCACGAAAATGCCCGTTTTGATAAAACCACGAAATTTCATGCCCACGAATATAAGTGAATTCGCAGTAATCATTTTCGGAATAATTTGGGATTCGACCCTTACACGACTTTGGGTCTCCTCAAGTTTGTCAAAATCAATTTTTACCCCATCTTACTACTATGTTTACCTTTTAGTCCTAATTGTTCTGGAATTTCATTCATTACACCCATTATCAGGAGATAATTTGGTTATCTGTTACTTGTCATTGTGGGAGGTCTATAGAAATCTGTATGACAAGATTTTCAAAATAGAACATGTCCTATCCCATTACATCCTGACTTAAGGTTTCTGAATTCAAGAAATAGTAGCCTTCACACATTAAGATTTGCCTGTACGGTCTTAGTTTTAATTGGTGTTGTTACTTGTACTTCTACCGTCTGTTGAGGCCTTAAGCTGTTGAAAACAATTTATATATGCTATCCACATATCAAAAGAAACTATTTTTAGAATTTCATACTATAACAACAGGCACTTTGAAATTAAAATCTTCACCTCCATATTTTCCAAGAATTCTGTGACACTGAGTGGTGATCTTTCTGGCAAATCACACAGCATGGTTTCACTTATCTCTTTTAGAACATAGTCTACCCTGCTCACTTTTATGTCATTCACCTGAAATTATAAAATCAAAATAACATAAGTTTTTTTTTCCATAAATGATGTACCAAAACGACAAATGATATAAAAACATCCGCAAACTCCTCTTTTCTCCATCTTTCTTTCTTTCAATTTCATATATGTATTTGTAATTATTTATTCTTTCTTCGTTTTTTTTCTTTATAGGGTTTAATTAAAATTATGATAAGCCATGTATTATGTAAATATATTGCTTTTGTTAAAGGAGAGGACTACTATGAGTTATTGTAGCTCTCGGTCCAATTCCTTTCTGCTTAAATTGTAAATTATTAACATGTATATATTATCTGAATAAAAATATGTTTAAACCAAAATAACATAAAAAGAGGTTTATTTGAATGAGTGTAAGTTTAATACTGAATTTATTGAACAAGTTTAATAAAATTATATTATGCGAGCCTCTGACGAGCATAATATTATTTTATTGAACAAGTTCAATAAATTTAGTATTAAACATACACAAATTTAATATTCTATTTATCACATACCAAGAACAAAGACCATTTGAAGTAAAAAAGAACCATTTTTCATTGACGCGCCTATAATATAACGCTTATAATTAGCGCGTCTTGACGTTATGTTTATATAACGATAATGACTTCACGTCAAAATATATGCACGGCCGTGCAATACAATTTTAAAGGAGTCGTAAAAGCGGCACGGGTATGTGATAAACAAGAAAAATAAATCTGTTAGATATTTATACTTATGACCCTGTAAATGCACAAGTGAATGATTTCATAATCCTGCAGAAAAGCAAAATCCTTGCTAGAAGTTTACAATATTTACACAATGGAGACTAATTCTATAAAACACCATTTCACAAACATGGTTCTTCATCAGAAACTTTCAATTATGAACAAAAAAACATGAGAGAAATTTCATGTGAATACCTATATCGTTAATAACAAAAGAAATTGTACACAAAAGTAAACATTGTCATTGCCAAAATCAACAAACTCCAATGCATGGAAATTGGATTTTTCAAATACTCTTGCATAACCAAGGTAAACATGTCTAGGAATTGACCATGACAAAAGGAACTAGAGATGTGTCACAAAGATGCCCCCAAATTCCACTGTTTTGTTAGTCTACTGAGGCCACTCTTAAAAGTTTTATCTGTTTGCTATTACCGGCCAACCTACGAAAATACTTCGACTTCACAGTTCCACAATATTTTATATGAAGCTGGGTTCAAATGATTTTATGTGAATTTTGCAAACATAAGTTGTGCAATGTGAACTTTCATATTTTTATGTGAAATTTTGGTAGTATAGAAACTACTGTGAGCTCATTTTTGAGGACACATATCCAAACAACTTGCTAAATACATATGTAAGTGCAAGTTCTTATTGAAGAAACAACAGATCTTTAAGGTACTTACTTAGATGTAATATTTTCTATAAGTCTTTACATACAAAGAATTAATATTTTTCTACATGCAACACAAATTAAAAATTGAAAATTTTAAGTCAATGGCAATAACTCAAGCAAAACTGAATAAATCCACATGCAAACCCCAGGTTCACAACTTCATATGTTGATCAACATTCCTGTAAAGTTTCATGACTCTAGGCCAAGCATTTTTAGAGCTACTGTGATATTACACATTAAATGGAATGCATGCACACATACATGCAGTTGAATGAACAAGGGCAATCTAAATGCCCATCCTAGAGTATGGGCATAAAAATCATGTTAACAATAATCTATAAAAATAACATTATCATTTGTCTTTGCCACTAGTACGAAGCCAGACCAGCTTGCACATCCATGTAATCTGACCTGCAGGCTCTATGTTGGTTTCAAAAGGCTAATTATTTCTGGTTCCAACAGAGTAAGAAAATCATTTTCAATTCAATTCTTTAGCTCAGTTTTAGTACTTTGATATTGAAATCTCTAAATTTTCAAACTGACTGTTCCAAATTCAAAGCTTGGCAAGTCCATGACATAAATGACATGTTTAAAGAGTTAAATCTAACCTGTTTGACAACAATCTGAAGGTCTTTAAGAGCTTCTCTGACATTCTTGAAGAATGATGGAAGACTAAGAGAGGTCCATGTATGAGCAAACAGTCCTGGTTTTAGGGCAGTGTCAACCTGAAAGTATACATTTCAAAGTTCCTACAAAAAGTAGCATTTTTGTTACCCCAGTAAGTCTGTCTATACAGAAGGGTTTTTAAAATATGTTTTGATGTAATAATTATAAAGCATCATTACTGCTGAGTTTTCATTGAATCAAATGCATAATCCAAGTAGTTATATTACACAAGTCTTCATTTCTTTACATATTACTTTATTCAATATTGAAGGTAGATAGGTAAAGTGTGCAGTACCAAAGTACTGTTAAAAGGATTTTTTCAGGCAACATGGGACATCTGAATAAAACCATTTAACAGCCTTCAACTAGCTCTTTCTGGGTGCATAATTTCCTCTAATTATGGGAACTTTTAGCTACAACTTTGATAAATATATAAAAGCATCAAAAAGCATCTTACCTTCCTCAAGACTGGCTTAAGAGGAGTAATGAATATTGTTGGTATGGATGACCTGATTTGCTTGTTCTCCTCCAGCAATACCTGCAACAGTACATCTTACAAAGTTAAGTATAATTTAAAATAGTACATGGAAATGATAAAGTCAAATTATTGAGAAATTGAGCTGAAATAAAATAAAAAGACTTATTCTTACAACTTATTCTATCAAAAATAGTTTGATTTTATGAATATAGACATTCCTTAACAACATTTGCTACAGATTGCCTATTGATATAAAGGCAGAATAAATAGAAGATTTTGAAATATTGCTAAATTATCATTCCCAGAAAGAGTCATTGAAAATTGAAGAGATTTCACAAACCTGCATCTCTTCGAAGTGGTTTCTCAGTTTATCAGAAGCATGAACAAGAACTTTGGTATCCTCTGGTATATCAAGCTCTCGCTTGATCATGTACTCTGACTCCTTTATAACTTCAAATATGTATGGGTCAAAGTTTGCCATCAATTGCTCTGTTGTAGGATGTTTAATAAGAACTGGCACTTGCAAGTCTGTGATGATAAAAATACTTCAATTATGACAGTCTTGCATCTTTCTTTAAATTTATTCTACATAAAACATAACTTTAAAATCAGACTCATGTTAAACATTTACTAAATATCATCTCCCCATACAGACAATGGCGTGCATTATAATTAACCGGTCACTACAGGTCAAAATCTTTTTTTCTCATTTGTACAAACATTGTAAATAATTACTTCTCTGGTAAATCACCTGTCCATCAAGACAAGTAATTCAAAATTTCGAGACTGGTTTTAAAACAAGACAGAGACAGCAAGGCTTGACTAATTAAATACTGGACACAGAAAGGAAGACAAAACTATAAAAGAAAAATCTATTATAATATAAATGTATTTCTGTATCAATATAAAGAAAGCACTCAAATGTTCTATATTTTTGCACAACATAATATGCATATGGTATTGTCAATAATAAATGTTAAACAGACATTTCTATGCTTTAATGGAAAAGACAGCAATTTGAAATCTGAAGTCAACCACTTAAAAAACAAACATGATAAAAGCCAAAAAAAATTGAAGTTTTTAAAGTAAAATTATAAGTTCAAAGAGGAAACATAAGAGTTAACTCTTCAACAAGAGCACTACTAGGGGGAACATTATTATGCCCGAAAAGGAAGGAAATTCAATGTATACATAAATTAAAGAAATTGATAAATAAACACATTAAAATAAAGTATTACTTCCTTCAAAAGCAATCCTCCTTTATAGCTGAAGAACCTTCATATATATATATATATACAGTTGCTGTTTCCAAAGCACCACCATCAAGTTGTTATCTTGTAAGTAAAAATGCTACATCGGATGGACAGAAAGACGCCAGGGGTATAACACAATATAAGCAAATTTTCTAGGGCATATAATTGTACTCAATATGAGTGATCATCCTATGAAGTTTAAACACTGTACAGTGTTTTTTTTTCACCAAAATATTCGGCGAAATTCTCCCTATTCCCCCCTCAAAATAGTATGTTTTTTTCCCCCCTCAAAGCTGAAATTTCCCCCTATAATATGGCAGCCCAAATCTGCCTGCAATGAATATCATTTTTTTGCAACTAACTGCCGAAAAATGCTTTATTTTATGCCTGTAAGACTTACTGTAAAGCAAGGTTTTTCATATAGGTAAGGGGAGCTACTCCTGGTATCCCAACAAGTTTATCATGTGACACATCAATATTTTAGATCCGTATAAAAATCCCCTTCCTATTACATTTTTCCCCCTCCAATGGGCACCGACCCCCTTCCCCCAAAAGTGAAAAAAAAACACTGCTGTAGGTCAAATGGAACTTGTGCTATACTCCAGAAGCCACAATTTTCAGTGTTAAGGTGATTGCGAATATTGTTGGCCAAATGGATCTTAAGTTATGCTCCGGAAACATAATTGCTAACGGACGGACGGGCGGACGTCCGACCGAATTGGGATGGGATAAAGGGTCATTTCTGTTGTTAATTTCTCTTGTTTAATAGAGGGCCATGACCCCTTATTCTATCGTTAAGGAATGAATTCTATTGTTCTCTTTTGTTCTGATTACAGTTAGAAGGCCCACTGTCCCTTTCCGGTAGAAGCATGACAGACATTTCGGGCATATAAAAAAGATATGCGAGTTATGAACCTTGTCATAAAAAAGATGCTAGAGTTATGAACCTTGTCATGCATGATATGAGAAATGACAAAGAAAAATTATTTATCTTAAGTCTATTGTAGTTACAATTTATAATAACAAAGATAATATTTCAACAAGAGGGCTATTTATAATGGCCCCGAGTCGCTCACCAGAAACAACTTGTCCATTGTCAATATTTTCTAATATTAAATTCAAATTCCCTAAGAATGCTACAGACAAAGTTTGGTGATTATCCATCAATTAGTTCTGTAGAAATAGACATTTAAAGGTATTTCTATTTTAAGCTTTAGCAGCCCTTTAAAGGGACCAATCAAATTAATATGAGCAAACTTGATAAAACACTACCCAAAAATGCTACAGACAAAGTTTTGTGATCATCCATCAATTCGTTCTGTAGAAGAAGATGTCTTTAGGTTTTTCTATTTTTAGCTCTAGAGACCCCTAAAAGGGGCCAATCAAATTAATATGAGCAAAGTTGATAAAAGACTACCTAAGAATGCTACAGACAAAGTTTGGTGACCATCCATCAATTAGTTCTGTAGAAGATGTTTAATGGTTTTTCTATTTTTAGCTCTATTGACCCATAAAAGGGGCCAATTGAAATTACATGAGCAAATTTAAGTGTGACTGTCACAAGGATGCCACAGACCAAATTTGAAGTAAATCTGCCCAGCAGTTTCTGAGAAGAAGACAATTGTTGACGCATGACGACGGATGCCGGAGCATACCCCTTTGATACTAATAGCTCACCCTGAACCTTTGGTTCTGGTGAGTTAAAAATATTAACAGTGTCTATTCTAGGAGGGGCAATTGGGGGATTCACCCATATTTTTGAGAATTCACCCCTATTTTTTGAGAGGAAGGGGGGAAATTTTACATAGACAAAGAAGGAAAAAGATCAACAAATGTAAAAAATTCTCACCTTTTGAAAAAAATCCCCCGTTTTTCGAATCCTAGAATAAACACTGTATTAATTTACAAATGAATTCTAAATTCAAAAATTTAATGGAGATAATTCTCGGAATACAGAAGCTTGCATTTTATAACTTATCCATATGAAAAGAAATTACAGTAAAAAAAAATAACATTTGTTAACAAATTCCAAGTTCAAAAGGGAATAATTCTGAAAATAGTCACTCCAGAGTTTTGAACCTTGTCACACAACATGTGTATAATGATAAGAAATATATATTTGAAGTTTGAAGTAGATACCTAAAAAAGTAAAGAAGTTATAATATTTCTTAAAGTAAATCTAAGTTCAAAGGGAGATAAATCTTAAAATATTACTTTATTAAGAGTTGTGAACCTTGTCATATAAGATGTGGTTGATGATAAGGAAATATGTTTTTGAAGTTTGAGGTAGATACCTTTAAAACTAAAGAAGTTTTAGAAAAAAATAACATTTTCAAGTAAAAAATTTAAGTTCATGGGGAGATAATTAATGCAATATTGGTGCTAGAGTTATGACCCTTGTCACATGAGATGTGGTCAATGATATTTTACAGGGTTCCCACTATTATTTAAGAGTGAAATTCCAGGTTTTTTCAAGGATTTTTCTTTAAATTCCAGGTTTTTCAATTTGAGAATTCCAGGTTTTTTCCAGACTTCCCACCAGCCCGTAAAGGGTGAAAACATAATATGTCCCGTTTTTCAAACGAGCATATAAAATTCATTTTACTTGCACGAATGACAAATCTTAATAGGCCTGTAAGAGTTTTGTCATTTTAATGAAAACAGTATATATTTACAATATTTGCATAAAACTATTGAACATAGGTCAGTCATAAAAAACTTTAATTGAGAAACAAGGCAATTATATTAATTTTACAGCATAGTAATGACATTTGTTTTAATGTAGCAGCACAAACACACTTTGCTGGTTTTTTTCATCATGGGGTGGCTCATATATATATTACAAAGATGTCATTTTTTTCACAATTCTCAAAAGTTTACACAAGTTTCATTCTGGAGTCTACAAAATTTTAACTAGTGAGATTCTCAGAGAATGATTATTTTACTCTCTGCATTTCTGATCAAGATCATGTTTTATACAGTTAAGTTCATGTTGTTTGTCATGTGCTGATTTTCTCATAGCATTTGCTTTAGCTAACAATGTCAGATTTTGTTCTTTTTCTGCTTTTTCGCATTGCTTGTCAGCATCTGAAGTCAGGATATTTATGTCCTTTTCTAATTGTTTCTGTTTCTTATGTAATGATTCAACTTCACTCTTGAGTTCATCTTCTTGAAATTTCCTTTTAATAGCTTCATTTTCTATTTTTTGCCTGTCAAGGTATAACATGTACTGGTTTCTTGCAGTTTGTGCTTTTTGTCGTAATTCTTTTGTAATGTGAACGTTTTGAGAACCTCCGATTTTTGAAAGATGATCTTTTACAACCCGACGGGCAACCAAATTGGTGCTTTTAATATTGGTGTCACTTACATCTTTGTTGATAGAGAAACCTCTCTCTACAGATGCTTGTCCATGAGACAGTAATAGCAGTTTTTTCAAAACCGACCATAATTTCCTGTAGTCTATTTTATCACTTATTATGGAGTAATATAAACAGTCTATACGATTCGTTGTTTTGTCAAACTTTTGAAATTCAGGATTCAACTTTGCTTCATTGACAAATTTTTCATACTGTTCCAAAATATCATCACAATCCCTAATATCTAATTGTCCAATAGATTGCAGTTTTGATACAATCTTCTTGAACCTAACTTTTGCAGTCATCTCTATTTGTCACAATTGCTTTGGGTGATAGACAAATCATGTTTCTAAGAAAGGCATATTCTAAGGAGATCGCTCCAACAATTTGCTTATGATTTTTTTTATCATGCTCAAACATTCTGCTCTTAATTCAAACGCTGCCCTTTCACTCACTTTTTTGTCCTTTACCAGCCTGTTAAGCTCAGTTTCTGCAGAATACCCAATGTTTATGTTCTTATTGTGTTTCAAATTTTGTTGATCATTTACATCAATTTTTGTGAGTTTGGATAAAGTATGTGCTTCTTCAATAACTGAATTCTTCACAATCTTTTTCATAAAACACTTTAAAATGTCACCAAAGTCCTCAGCTAAGAAAGGTGCCATTGGCTTGACTGTTTGGTAACTTACTAAAAATGATTCAATTTTTTGTGCCATGGATATTATACACTGAAGATGGACTTTACTCAATGGGTCCTTAACAAATGTTTTTGACAGTTTCGTAAGATTTTTGTTCCAGGATTTCTGTACTTTTTTTGCTCAATACCCTTAATATACCTGTCTAGGGCGGGTAAAATCTGAATAGCCCTTTCACAAACTTTAATGTTCTCCACCCATCGATGGCTACAAACCTTAAGAGG